AGCTACATTCATGAATTGACCTCTATGCTGAAGATCATAGCCGCTGACCATGTAGCTGACTCTGATACTCAAACCCCTCTGTGTCAGGTATAACTGATACTGATTCATTCTTTCATAGATTGCAGTCTCCCAAATTGTTTGCATAATATCTGACATCGTCGTCATCAATGCACAGGTTTTAGAATCTGTGAAATCATTAATACTGCTGTTGCAAAAACCTAGTTCTTCATTGAAGGTGGATGATGTATTTTCTAGTGATTTTGTTCCTCTGCCACTAGATATTATAGTTTCTTCAAAGATCCATATAATGTCAGATGGTGGTGCTGAAATGGCTGACGATTATCTTTACCAAGGAGCACTAGGAGACAAATTTCAGTGGGAGTGTCCCGAAACATTACCAGATAGATTGTCACAATCAAATCTTTCTGTTAAGAGGAAAATGCCATCACTTGATGGCCCTAATAGGCGTGCTAGAGGAGAAAATTCCCCGGCTGAGACCCCAAATCAAAATGTGTTTTCACGAGGATTGGGTTCAACTACTGCCTCGTCTGGCCCTACTCGTAGGGATACCTTTAGGCAGCGCAAACCAAATACCAGCAGACCTCCTTCCATGCATGTTGATGACTATGTTGCGAGAGAAAGAAATGATGGTGTTTCTAACTCTAATGTAATAGCAGTACAGCGAGTGGGATCTACTGGTGGGAGACCTCCGTCAATTCATGTGGATGAATTTATGGCCAGGCAAAGGGAACGCCAGAATCCAGTGTCACCTGTAGTTGGGGATGCAGCAGTACAGGTGAAGAGTGCGGCTCCTGTGAACGATACAGCTATGGAGAAGTTCAACAAACCTAAACAATTGAAAGCGGATCTTGATGATGATCTTCAGGGAATTGACATAGTATTTGACGGTGAGGAGTCTGAACCTGATGACAAATTGCCCTTTCCTCAGCCGGATGATAATCTGCAGCAGCCTGCTCCTGTCATTGTTGAGCAAAGTTCTCCCCACTCTATTGTTGCAGAGACAGAGAGTGATATTCATGACTTGGCCACTCCATCAGCATCTAATATGGATGAGAACACACAAAGTGAATTTTCTTCCAGGATGTCAGTTTCGCGCCCTGAAATTCCATTGACTCGAGAACCTAGTGTTTCTTCAGATAAAAAGTACTATGAGCATTCTGATGACCCGAAGAATGCTACACTACTCAAGACTTCTAGTGGTTTTGATTCTGCAACAGCAGCAAATAGTCCCAGATTCCCTGTTTTTGCTTATAATAATTCTTCAGCATCTTCGGTACAATTACCAGTTGATTCTAGGATGACTCCACAAAATTTCTTTCCAAAGAATAGTCCACAACATGCTGGTAATGCGCCTGTAGCTACTGGATCTCCAGGATTTTTTGACCAGAGATTTCTTCCAAATCAACCTCCTTTACCTCCCATGCCACCTCCTTCAACAGCTGTGATATCTCAGACATCTGAGTCAGTTCCAAGTCAATCATCCCCTTTTGTGAACTCTCTGACTGATGTACAGCAGCAGCTTCCAACAGCCTTCCAGGTAAGTTTTATAAGCAATTTTCTTCACATTTCTCATTCAGCTGTCTCTTGTTGGTTTATCTGCAATTATGTAATCTCTTGATTGTTTGTCATTGCAGATTCGTTCAGATTATCTTTCTGCGTTCAATAATGGTTCTACATCTTCAAGAAATTCTGGCTCTTCTCCCAATGGGGCCGCCAGGCCACCACCACCACTTCCTCCTACACCACCCCCATTTTCTTCTAGTCCATATAATTTAACGTCCAATAGAACTATTTCGCAGTCTTCAGTATATAACCAGACAAGTGTGGGAGCAACTGAACTTCCTCAGAGCTCTACTGCACTCTCAAATGATGCTCGGTTAGGTGGTCTTTCTGCTTCAGGGGCCAGAGTAAATACCTATTCGCCACCTTCCTTAGTGCCACACATGGTTTTCAGGCCAGGTTCTAATTCTATGAGTCTTTATGGAAGCATACCAACTCAACTGCAAGGCGACAATGCAAGTATTTTGCAGAATCTATCTATTCCTCAGGCAATTCATTCCCTTGCTCAGTTGCAGCCACTGCAACCCCCACAGCTTCCACGCCCTCCGCAACCACCCCAACATCTTAGGCCACCTTTACAAGCTTCACAACAGTTGGAACAAGGTGTATCTTTGCAGAGCCAAGTTCAAATGCATCCACTGCAGATTCTGCAACAGCCACAGGTTTCACCTATGCATGCCTACTATCAATCCCAACAACAAGAGTTTGTTCATGTACAGCAGCAACAGCAAGTTGACCATTCTCAACTGCAAGCAATGCATCAATCAGGGGATGCTTCATCCCAACAGCAACAAGATCCGGGAATGTCATTACATGAATACTTCAAGTCTCCAGAAGCTATTCAGGTATTTGTTACTTAGGATCCTTTGCAGAGCGAAAAGACATTTTATGATTTTCGAATTTGACTTTCAATTTTAAAAGACCCCCTCTGCCCATCTAAGATGCAAAAATGCATCAGTGGAAAACATCAATTTTGGAGCTTCTTCAAATAGACCTTTCAAGAAAAACTTCTATGAAAGATGTTTTTGGAGAAGCTCCGCCATCTTGACCCTTGTTCTTTCTGCCAAAAGCTTTCAGATGTATTTGATTGGTATGGCCTTGGTCCATTCTAATTATTTGTTTTCCTTTCATGGCAGTCTTTATTGAGTGACCGAGATAAACTTTGTCAGCTTTTGGAGCAGCATCCAAAGTTAATGCAGATGCTTCAGGTATATGTTCTTTTACGCGTTGCAGCCTGCTAGTTCTTCAAAGAACTGGCCTTGTTGCAAGGTTTAGAAACATTTCTGATTTAATCTCGGAGGCTGCTATTCTAACCCACTGGATTTTGTGATTTAACAGGAGAAGTTGGGCCAGCTATGACGGAATGACTTGGACCTATAAATTGATAATCGAAGTCTTGCATCCCCAATGCATATGTTTGCAGGAGTTTAACCTTTTGTCCCCTGAAATTTTGTATTGATAATGTACTCTAAAATGTGTATATTAATATTCTTTCCATCTTTATAGTGTAATATTGAATTGTAAAAAAAAGTGTTAATATTGCTTTCTGTTAATGTAATTTCTGGCCGCGCTAATTAGCTGCAAATGTGTTTGATCTGTAGGTCGAAGGTGTATTTATTCTATAATGCCTCCTTTTCTTCCTCATTATGTGCCTCATGTCTCCTTTGTATTTTCTTTTTCTCAATTTCTCAATAGCGTATTTATTTTAAACCAATATAAGTATTTGGCGCTGTGTGTTTTGCTTTTCGCAGTCACCAAAATGCCTGACAAACTTGTATTGGTTTCCTTCCAAATTGTCTTTTCATCATGTGTTTTTCTGCATGATCGTCTTCTATCTAGGACGACTAATATAAAACTCTCAAGCCCAGGATCCAAGAAGCCCATGATCCAAGAGATCCTCTCCAAGTTTAATTGTATGTATAAGTTAACCACCCACCGCCCAAGAGACATTCCTACTATAAGAAATTCTAGGCCTTGAGAACAGATGCCAGGGATACAAAATATGAGGGTTGCTAGCTCTTCATTTTCGTGATCATCCTTCAAGGATCAGTTCCTACAAAAACTGCTTAGCCATTTGATTAACAATGTAATAATTAAACGTTAGTCAGAACATAGGTTTGTCTACGCAGTCGGTAATAGTTTCGATTGTTGGAAGATCGTCGATCATCGCATGATTGGAACAGGATCGGAGAGGGTAGAAATGTAGGCTACATCCCCATTGTAGCGTACATCGCCCTTAGAGAATCTTGACAAACATGATTCTCTCGCATAAAAGAGATAAAAGACATAAAAGAGTGAATCCACGGATTTTCCTCCTTACAAAGATGAGCCCAAAAATCATAAACAAAAAAAATGACGAACAAAACTTGAAAATAGACCAACAGGTCTCGATCGTACAGGCTGCCATAGTTCATGAGGAATTTGAATGCCCATTTAACGAGGAGGGGTTTTAGTTCTACTTGCATTGCATGGGTAAATGCAGGACATTACCAACCAAGCACTTCAGTTAATTATTTAATTGAATGGTACAATTAATTATTTAATAATCAACGGAGGCTGTCTGCTCCTGAAAGGATCCTGAAATTAGTAATGACTATTCCGAGGTTTTTGCGTCCTGCTTCGCCCTCACAAGTCATGAAAATCGCACCAATATCCTTGTGCTACGTGTGGCCAACACCGACACCCTCTATCAGCCTACGGGGCTGTGACACACAATCATATACCCTAACGTCCTTAACGCCACCAAAACCTCATGTGCACGTACGGGCTGCATCAACAGTCAACATTTCCATCACAAAAACTTCATCCCTACTCTACAATACAATCAGATGCCAACTCAAAGCAAGTTACTGTTTGATACGTATGTATAAACTTTTCTTTTTCTTGTATGCGTGTGTTTAATGAATTATTTTTGTATATGTGATATTAATATGTAAGTAAAGAGAAATGACTCCGGTACTTAAAACAAACTAGTAATCGGTAAAGATGAAAGAAGACTTCTTATTTCTAATGTGGGAAAAACTCTCAACACACAACATCATGTGTGGCGTGACTTGATCTCTTATTGAAACTGCAACAATATTTTAATAGACTTAGAGTATCTAATTCAAATCAATTGATCGGAGTAAAACGGAAGACAATAATTATATTTGGTAAAATCACACCTTTACATTATCGATGTGAGAGAGTATTTCAACACACTGATCACTGCTAGAATGCAATGTGCACGGGGTGGTGTACTATACACTTCTTTCTTAATTATACTCTATCCCATATAAGTGTATTGAAAGTACTATCACATTTACATATGCAGCCCCACTGAGCATTCTCTCTCTTTCTCTGCCCAACTCTGCAAGAGAGAGAGTAGGGTGTGTGGGAGATTTTGATGAAGCCTATGCGGACTTGGGTCACAATTGGTGATGGAGAGAGCAGGATGGAAGCCAAACGATGATCACCATCAGATAACTCCAAATTGTCCCCGGTGTGGTTGTTCCAACACCAAATTTTGTTACTACAACAACTATAGCTTAACTCAACCAAGGTACTTCTGCAAGGGCTGTAGGAGGTACTGGACCAAGGGTGGGTCTCTCAGGAACGTCCCGGTAGGAGGCGGCTGCCGGAAAAACAGAAGAGGGTCCAAGTCCTTAAGGCTATCCACCACTGCCACAGCCCCAGAAGGTCATGTTCATCAATCTAGTAAGAGTGCTACTAATTTGGGTAGTTATGGGAGTGCTGTTCACAATTCTTATGGCACCAATGTAATTATGAACAACTCATTGGGTGATTCCACAAGCTCCTCAGTAAGTCAAGATGGTTCAAGTATTGATCTTGCACTTGTTTATGCAAATTTCTTGAACCAAAAGCCAGACGATTCGAATAGCACTGGATCTGATCATCAGCTGCCAGAATTACCTAGCGAATTCGATCCGGCTGCTCTAGATTTTTCAAGCATGGCATTGAACATGAACAATGCAAGCTCAGGAGGGAACACTATTAGTAGCATTCAATTAATGGAAGATCATCAAAATGGTCTTGTTGGGTCACTTGGATGCCACACTGAAAATTGTAGCACCAATGATCTCATGTACTTTGGTGGATTGGACCCATTAATTCATCATCATGAGAAGCATCATCATCAAATTCAAGATGCAAGTGATTTTGGGTTGCCACCAATATTGCCAGTAGGCCAAGAGGAGGCATTGTGGTCTACTTCTCAAATAATGGCTCATACAAGTCGTCCTATGCAAGCTGCTGCTACACCACTACTAGGAGGAGGGCCAGAAGCTCATGATCCAAACCTCTTAATTGGTAGTTGTTGGAGCCCATTTGATTTGCCTTGTAATGAAAATTTCTCCAGGACATGATGACAACATTGATGTTCTTTTCTTAATTTGTCATCTTGCTTTCATATACTATGAATATAATTAGTTACATATGCATAGATCGAATAGATTGGAAATTGAGAATCACCATGTAATAGTATCTATAATTATGCTCCTAGCTATTACTTATTTGTCCTTTGTAATTTTTGTTAATTCCATTTACAAGGCGGTACGAAATTCGTGTATTTCATTCAAAACCCCAACTGCCCTTCTGGATTTAGTGAGTAGAGAACACACTAAAGATTGAGGTACTTCTCTCTCTCTCACAGACAGTCGCAGAGAGGATTTTGTAGCCAGTTTCCTACTCTAGGGTATATTTTCTTTTTCCAAATCCATGGAAGCTTCTTCTATAAAGCTCGAAGCTTCTATTAATTAGTCTCGTAGAAGCTTCTGTTAATCAAGCTTAAGTAGGCTTATATATAGACCATTCATTTAACATAAATTAACCATAGAAATTCTCTCCCGGAGCTCTTTCATTTTCTTGGTCTTTCTGCTTAGAGATTTGGCAGTTGAGATTTCTTGAGGTCTAAAACCACTACCATGAAGCTGCTTAACCACTCATTCAATCCCCAAGGAGGAAAATTAGTGTCAACACCCTATAATAATGAAAATTAATTATTAATATATTTGGTCAAGATCAAGGACTGTGAAGATTGATAGAGTCCAAGTGGCGCCTCTGCCGGTTTCTGCTAGAATGCAATGTGCACGGGGTGGTGTACTATACACTTCTTTCTTAATTATACTCTATCCCATATAAGTGTATTGAAAGTACTATCACATTTACATATGCAGCCCCACTGAGCATTCTCTCTCTTTCTCTGCCCAACTCTGCAAGAGAGAGAGTAGGGTGTGTGGGAGATTTTGATGAAGCCTATGCGGACTTGGGTCACAATTGGTGATGGAGAGAGCAGGATGGAAGCCAAACGATGATCACCATCAGATAACTCCAAATTGTCCCCGGTGTGGTTGTTCCAACACCAAATTTTGTTACTACAACAACTATAGCTTAACTCAACCAAGGTACTTCTGCAAGGGCTGTAGGAGGTACTGGACCAAGGGTGGGTCCCTCAGGAACGTCCCGGTAGGAGGCGGCTGCCGGAAAAACTGTCAAATTCATTGGACGCACATCTGGTGTGGCTGAAAACCATGCATAGCCCAGGTTTGAAAATCTCTTGGAACAAGTCCCTGAATAATCTATTTTATTATTGATGAGTGTAATTAGTGGAGGTTGGCAAGGTTTAGGTTAGAGATTTTGGGGGGATATACATGAAATTTAGTGCAACACATGATCCCAGAAACGCCCATGATCCAAGATATATATAACTAACTTCCACAAATCATCTTCCAGCCGACAAACATCTAGTATAAAGTGCCTGCAAAGTTTGATCAAATCATATATATTGATCAATAATAAAAAGATTAGTGGTCCCTTAATACCAAATCTATCTTATTAATTACATTATCAAGTTAATTACCAATTAAAAAACTGGACGTTATGAATACAAAATGCTGCAAACCCCCTAGCTCTATAACCCGGTCATTGCCACAAATACTATTAAGAGATGTAACCAAACAGACCGCAAGAAACTCAAAATCCACTTGTTGTGGTGATGCTGGTGGAAGTATAATGACCACATATGTCGATACTCTCTATGTTTAATTCGGGTGGACAGATAAATACTACGTGACCTAATTTTTTATATGTACAAATTGACGGCTCGCTATTGTTCAAGATCCACAAAAAATGAATGGTTGATATTTATTTGGGTAATTAATCATAGCAAAGCTCCTCAATTAATAGTCTAATAGCATAATATAATACGTATAATAAATATATGTACGAAAAATAAATCAATAGAGAAAATTAAAAACACCACCTAGTCAAAATCAAATGCATGTCACTTATTATTATATTAGTTTTCATGCCTTACGTTAGATTAATTTACAGGTTGCTCATCTACCACGTAATCGATCATATATGATCTTGGTGTACGACGTGAAAATTGGATTATCCAATTTGAAAAAAAAGACGATATGGAGGAGACAGCATGGTTGCCCATCATATTCATGATATCACATTAAAAATGTCGGGCTAACTTTGGATCAGATATCATCTGACGATACAGAGCCAGGTTGTGAAATCTGTACCCTACATGTGGAGGCTCAGGATTGGCAGGGATTTATGATGAAATTATGAGTTGACTAGGGGAGGGGTGGTGGTGGTGTTCATTTTCTTGAGAGTTGAATCTCACATAGCACCACATGTTTGCTTTTTTGGGCATAAAATTCGTAACACTTTTGCTTTTGTGTTTGTCGATATAATTCAATCTGATCTTATGTAGTCAGTTTCATGGGAAATTTCTTTAATGGCGCCGCACACACCATGTGCTGCGGTAAGGTCCCAGCCGCAATTTGATTTTACTAGATGGAGGAGGAAGTTTCCTTTCTCTTCTCTTTTATATACTAGAAGGTAATAGGCCCTTCTGGATTTTGTACATACATCACATCATGCCACTGTCCACATTTTGATGATATTAAAAACATTATGGCGAGCATTATTATTGCACTCTTGACCGAGATGATGTGTGAGATATTATTGTATAATAATCGAATCGCGTGTTATAACATAGATAAACTATGAATGTAATATTTTATAATATAATAAATATGAATATATACGTGTACACGAATCAGCAATATAATATATAATGTTAGGAATTCTATAGATTAAATTAATATTGTTCTGTTTAATTATAATGCAAAGTCAAATACAAAATGTTGTACTTGTTTTGCTAAAAAGGAAAGCTGTACCCTGTACCTAAAAAGAATTAATAATCCCATTGTTTATCCGTATTAGGTATAATTGCAGGAATATAGAAAGTACACAGTATAGAATTCGGTCCACAAAGTTGGGCAAATTAAATTGTATAACACACTTGCAAGGAAGATATGACTATTTTCTGTGGCTGGCTGGCTGGCTTTTTTGAGGAAGAAAGTCTAGGTCTATAGCTAGTAGGTGCTGGTGCTGGTGCTGGACCAGTTCTCAATCAATTTGCATGAACAAGGTGACCCAGAAACTGCTAAAATTAAAAATTAAAAAGAAAGCAAAAGATTTCGATTTCTCATAACCAATTCAAATTCGAAACGAAGAATTTCCAGAACATTGAAATGATCTGGAAAATATATGTAATCTCAGTCCAAATATATATCGAGCAATTAACTTCAGAAGGACCAATTAGACCATGAACCAAAATAGAAATGTGCAAGGAGGCCATAGATAATAATTAAGAGTGGCAAGAACCAGAACAAAATCCATACGAATGTGATCAAACATTTAAGGGACTTGCCCGTTAATCTGTATATATATTTTTATCATAACCAACCATCCAATTATGTACACAAAAATGGAAAATTACTGAAAATATATAAAGAAAGCCACACTTCTTTCTCAATCTCTATGAAGGATAAGAAGAAACCAAACTGCTTGGTATACAAGTAGAGTTCTTCCATGTCCTTGCATGCAATTTCAAGATCTCTCTGGCCTTCTCCTTGGTCTTGCTCCCACTGTCCACTTGAAGCACCAAGCACAGCTTTGCCACAACACCCAGTTGCATCATCTCCAGCAAAACACTCGGGGTCGCCGAGAACTTGCAAATGGAGAACAAAATCCTCACAGCCCTCTCGCTCCCCACCTTCGAAACTCTCATTATCTTCTTCGAAATTACCGCGAGGCCTGCCCCGTGGTTCAGCAGGTCTGCACGGCCTTCTGCGCAGGCGCATATCATGTCAAGAACCATCAGTGTCATTTCCAAGGTCCTCCTGTCTGCAGATGTATCAAGGAGAAGCTCGATCAAGACATTAACCGCCCCGGCTTCGACTGCCTTGATTCGGTTTCGTCCCCAAGGGCAGAGCTTGATGAGCAGCTGCAATGTGGCTTTTGAGGCCTGCTGTGAGATCTGATTATTCAAGACCTGAACGACTTCGATGAAGAATTCAGGTCTTATGTTTATCATCTTCATGGGGTCGTCAGCCACCTCGAACATTGATCTGAATAACATCACTGCATAAGCTCGAGACTCGTAGCTTCCACGTTGCATGAGCTTGATCAGGGCCTCGATAAATTCCCCTTCTTTGCCTACAAGTGTTTTGAGTGCGTCTTCGCTGAGATTGAGGTTGTAGAGGATGCTCAAAGCTTCTTCGCTTTCAACATTGTTGTTGTTTTTGACGTTGTTGATGATCATGGAAGACAAGAACTCGCTTGCGCCGGCAGCTTCGATGCTTCTCTTGTTGGCTTCACTGTGGGACGCCATGGACCGGATCTCTCTAAGGCAATTCGACAAGCACTGTGGAGACTTTTTGGCTTCTCTGAAGAGCTTGGCGATCTGGGTTTTGCTGACAGGTGGCTTCGGAGTAGGGATCCGCTCGATGCCGTGAGAAGCGTTCATGGTGCACCAAGCTTGGAGCAGCCGGCGGAGAGTATGGTTTGGGGTGATGTCAGAGTCCGAAACCACTTGTTTGGTGACGGGGCAGGTGTTGTTCTTGCTCAAGAATAGCCATTTCTCGATGCTCTCCCGGTCGTAGGTTATCCCGGTTGTAATTGTGACGGGGTCTTTCATGATTTCTAGAGAAATGGGGCAGATGAAAAATGAAGGAACATCAATTTCTTGATCCATTTGATGGAAAAAGAGCGAAAACACAGAAGAGAAAAAACTGGTGGAAATCAAAACTAAGAAGGTTTTACTTAGGATTATGAACAGGGATCAAAAGAATTAGAGGAGGTTTTGTGTGTAGAGTGTTTGATGATTGATTTGATGATGAAGGTGTTTGATATAGTTGTGAAATGGTTTGAATAAGTTTATGAGGTTATGAGAAAGGGGTTGAGTTTTTATTTATATATATGTGGAGATGGGGAGGAAAGTGAGAGATTTTCAAAATGAGAAAGTCAAAACACGGGAAATATGAGCGTTGAGAGAGAGTAGAGAGAGAGTAGAGAGAGAGAGGAAGATGAAGATGAAGATGAAGACTTTTCCAAGTTATTGAAAGGCTCAAGTTTGATGAATTTTACCAAGTCATTAAGTATGGATGGGATGGTGGGGTTCAGGGGCTAAATTAAAGTGCACAAGGTGAAATGCACATGCAAATAAATACAAAATTTTGGGCAAAGATGCATTAGGAATTTCCAAACCCCCCCTTTGACTTTCTCTATGCAGAAAAAGAAAAACACGACATAATAATTTTCCCCTTTTTTCTTTATGGCTCGTGCCAATTTAAATTCTGCTTGCCGACAAAAGGTGATGGGTGTGGGGGCTATTTGGTAATGCCCTCTCACTCCGTTGGTTTACTTGGCCATTTGGGTTGTTGCCGCTGCCCACACATCCCATTTGTTTTGACCAACACAATTGTCTCTCTTGGGTCTTATGGCACGTGGAGGAAATATGGGCCGTTTGATTTGCATGTGAAGTACGTTGATCTGGCTCATGAGAGAGAGAGAGAGAGAGAGAGAGAGAGGTGAATAATTTTGTGTAAGTCAACCAAATTATCTGATTGAAAGTTACTAAAGTATTGTGCTTCATTATGAAAGTTACTAAAGGGACCGGTTGGTTTCATTCACTATGATTTGCACTCATTACTAGAGATGGTAAAAACTACAAATTAACCAAGTAACCAATAACGGCTAGATTCTTTTTATAAAAATAAAAAAATTTATATCTTTAGCGATACAACAAGGGGTAAAAGAGAATAAACTTATTGTGGATCATAATTTTATTACCAAACAATAGGAAGAAAAAAAAAAAGAAAAAAAAAAAGAGGTCACTTACTAGACAAAGTGCTATGATAGCATGAATGAACTCTGAGATTTCACACACCAAAATAAATTAACAATGAAGGGAGTAGTTCAATTTTTTATAAGTTTATGTTAGGTTTCTTAAATTTTCAATATGGGACAACCCTTCACTTTATATTCTCACACACTTCAGGTGATCCATGACCTTCACCATTGTACCTCACCATCCTTCACTATTGATACAATTGGATTTAGAAAGAGCCGATCTACATAACATGGTTAACATTGCGACCAATCATGATTGAAAAATTGTCACCTGAACGACCATTGAAACCCACTCTTTTTCTTGTTGAAGAATATAAAGTCTCACATCGAAAACTTGACTCAATAAAATACAACATATAATTAGTGGTTACACTCATAAAAGCACTGAGGCTTTTGTGATAAACCCTCCCACCTACTGGGTTTTGTGTATGTGGTTAATTTGGAGACAAAATCGGTGTTGCTAAATAGTGGGCCGTTGGTCAGTATCTTTGAAATTTAATATGGTATCATATCAAAGTGGTTAATTGACTGGGCCAGAAGTACTGGGCATTTACCATTATCCCTTACCCAATATATAGTGTTCACATGTTGGACTTGAATGTTTACCCTTACTCTTTATCCAATACGTGATGTTCACGTGTTGAGCTTGAATGTTTGACTTCGATGTGTACTTGTCTCCACATGTGGCCCACTATGTGTTGATCCCACGTGAGGGGGTGTGTTGACGAATATAAAGTCCAACATTATAAACTTGACTAAATAAAATACAACATATAATGAGTGATTACACTCCTAATAGCATTGAGGCTTTTTGTAATAAAACCCCACACCTACCATGCTTTGTAGGTGGTTAAGTTAGGGACAACGTTGTTGTTAGTAGTGAACCGCTTGTCCGTCTCTCTGAAATTTAACATTTCTTATGTGAAATCTTGTGTGAGAATGTGGCCCAGGAGTGCAAATCTTAATAATAAAAACTATGATAATGAGTTTTATGATTATTAAGATATAATCAAAACTTAAACAATAATCATTCAGATAATGAGTTTTATTATTGGTTGAGATATAATCAAATGTTAACAATAATAGTTTTGATAATGAGTTTTATGATATATTCTTGCTTACACCAGTTATATATAATTTCTCTAAAACTCTCTCTCTCTCTCTCTCTCTCTTATGATAGCATGAATGAACTCTGAGATTTCACACACCAAAATAAATTAACAATGAAGGGAGTAGTTCAATTTTTTATAAGTTTATGTTAGGTTTCTTAAATTTTCAATATGGGACAACCCTTCACTTTATATTCTCACACACTTCAGGTGATCCATGACCTTCACCATTGTACCTCACCATCCTTCACTATTGATACAATTGGATTTAGAAAGAGCCGATCTACATAACATGGTTAACATTGCGACCAATCATGATTGAAAAATTGTCACCTGAACGACCATTGAAACCCACTCTTTTTCTTGTTGAAGAATATAAAGTCTCACATCGAAAACTTGACTCAATAAAATACAACATATAATTAGTGGTTACACTCATAAAAGCACTGAGGCTTTTGTGATAAACCCTCCCACCTACTGGGTTTTGTGTATGTGGTTAATTTGGAGACAAAATCGGTGTTGCTAAATAGTGGGCCGTTGGTCAGTATCTTTGAAATTTAATATGGTATCATATCAAAGTGGTTAATTGACTGGGCCAGAAGTACTGGGCATTTACCATTATCCCTTACCCAATATATAGTGTTCACATGTTGGACTTGAATGTTTACCCTTACTCTTTATCCAATACGTGATGTTCACGTGTTGAGCTTGAATGTTTGACTTCGATGTGTACTTGTCTCCACATGTGGCCCACTATGTGTTGATCCCACGTGAGGGGGTGTGTTGACGAATATAAAGTCCAACATTATAAACTTGACTAAATAAAATACAACATATAATGAGTGATTACACTCCTAATAGCATTGAGGCTTTTTGTAATAAAACCCCACACCTACCATGCTTTGTAGGTGGTTAAGTTAGGGACAACGTTGTTGTTAGTAGTGAACCGCTTGTCCGTCTCTCTGAAATTTAACATTTCTTTTGTGAAATCTTGTGTGAGAATGTGGCCCAGGAGTGCAAATCTTAATAATAAAAACTCTGATAATGAGTTTTATGATTATTAAGATATAATCAAAACTTAAACAATAATCATTCAGATAATGAGTTTTATCATTGGTTGAGATATAATCAAATGTTAACAATAATAGTTTTGATAATGAGTTTTATGATATATTCTTGCTTACACCAGTTATATATAATTTCTCTAAAACTCTCTCTCTCTCTCTCTCTCTCTCTCACATTCAAATTCAACCCCTCACATACTAGTCATGCATGCGACTAATTTTATGAGAAAGAGGTTGTAGACCATATGTGTGGTGTGGAGTATTAGTTCATCGGCAAGACTAGCAGATCATATGTGTGGTGTGGATAGCGCATCTCCTTTAATTGCCTAACCCCTAAAAAAAAAACTATTGATGAAAGATACCTCCTAGTTGACTTGTGTATTAATTGAATACACTTTTTAAAGTTTGATTTAGGTTTTTTTTTTTTTTTTTTTATAGCTGTGTTTGTGTATTTTTATATTGGAATACTGTAACAATGACATTTTCTAACGCCGTACTCTTATGAAAAACCAATATCCTATTAAAAATATGAAATATTATGTATATACGAACGCCAGCTAATGACGCAAGAGGTTTTTATATCCAGTTGTGTGATAAAAATGTGGCAAGAATATTCGCATGGCTACATTTGTTGCAGCAAGAATTCCCAAACATAGTATGGATTTCAATTTTCGAATCTTGTCCAACATGATCAGACCAAAATACAACACGCACACGACACGCACGTACGTGGTTTGCTTATTGGAATGATTATGTGTTCAAACCTCTTGTACACGACACACAAACTCACACTCCTATTCAAAAGATTGTCACATATGATTTTTTTCTCTCACGTGCCCAAATACCACTACTACTTTTGGTAAGTGGAAATAAAAGTAGAATTAATATTATTATGCAGTGGCAAACGTGTGCCCGCAGCGTTAGGGCCGCCATCCACAACTCAACTCTTCTCAACTCAAAGTCTCAGGGGCTTATCCATCCACAACCATAAATGGCCTTTGAGAGGCTGAGAATGAGAGGCGTTTTCAAACTTTTCATATTCATTCTTGTGGTCCTGTATGGATGTGGGCGCACATCGCATGTTTGCTGACCGCCAAGAGCCGTGTTAACTTTATCCACACTCCATATGGCCACTTGTTGAGGAATTTTTCGGCACGAGTTGTAACACCGTCACGTCTTGTTAGCATTTTATTTTGACGCATAAATTCGTTATTATTATGAGGAAGTGAAGAAATATCTCATATTAGAAAAGTTATAAATATTTGTTTTATAAAGAGTTGGCATACGTACTCATTGCCAATTTATTTTGGGCTTATCTGTGAAGCTCAACGGTCATACATGCCCTACGTTACTCTCTTTTCCCCCGCCCCCCTCCCCCCATTTTTTTTAAAAAATGTCATCTCTAGTTATAGGAATAAATGTAATCCAGAGCTATAATTTTAGCCCTCCAAAATATTACTTTTTTAAAGAATAGTGTAAGACTAAATTTTTTCATGCACGGCTATATTTTAGGGCTTTCCATATTTTATTATTTTGGGAAAAACTACAATGCAACACTCATACATTCCACTACTATTTATTGTTTAAATAAATTAAACTACTATTTAAACAACAACAATTTTGAAAAAAAAAAGTTTCAAAAGGTTATGACCTCTCAACTTGTTTATTTAAAAAAAATTATATACATTTAAAACGTAAAAAGAGAAAGAAAAAAGTTAACGTTTCAAATTTTTTATATATATATAAAAAAAATGAATTTAAATACATTTAAAAGGTTAAAAGAAAAAAAAAAATAACGGTGCGTTGACGTCATTGCGCCTTTAATATCAACCTTTGAATTGCATTTGCATGAGATGTTCCCTGTGCACACA